TCTAAGGTTAAAATCATGGGCCCCTAGTATGGGCCATTAACCCTGGAGTCCTCATATACCTATTGTATACCCTATATGTACCCTTAAGGGTCTAAGGGCCCATATTAGGGGTCCATAATTCTAACCTTCCAATATAGGGGAATGGAAAAGAAAGTGGAGACGACTGTGTTATTCAGAATTTGGGGCATAGGGTATCCGTGGACACTAGCTTCCTCCGAAGCATACCCCACATGGTACTTTCTTTCAATAGGGACCCCAATACGAGCCCTAAAATATTATAGTCCTTACAATTGGGAACTTCAAAAAAATACTACTTTTGGGAAACCTTCAGATGCAACTCCAAGCCACCAACATTCCCCTTCAAGCAAGGTCGCTGTCCAAACTTCGGAGAGCTTACCTTTGGTTAGCTGGGAAGCTACAGTCTAAACTCCTAGTATTCCCGTTCATCACCCCGATAACAATCCCCTGTATAATCCCCTATCTAACTCCACTTTCAGGAGTTTAGACAAAGCTCATATAGGGACTACTATAATGATCCATTCCTTCATTCCTACCTAACCAAGGGTAAGAAAGTCTCTCATGGCATGCTCCATCCAGCAAAACAACTTGTGGCTTACTGAACGCCAAGTCAGAGAGACAGTATTTTGCTGCAGCGCCTTTTACCATGAGAAACTATAAGCCCTAATCCCTAAACCCTAAACCCTAATCCCAACACCCTAAACCCCAATCCCAAATCCCTAATCCCTAAACCCCAAACCCTAATCGCTCGGTAGATTGAACTGGCCTCCTTGCACGCGGTCTCTCCAGGGTCCGTCTTGAGCGTTTGAGCCCGGACCAAACACATGAAAATTGGATTTGCCAAAATTAGGGGTCCCATTTAAAGGGGCATGTAGGGGGTTTGCAGGGTGTATATAGGGTTTAGGGTTTCCTAAAACAATATTTTGGGGTGTCCCTATAAGAAGGACATTAGTATTTGGGGTTCTATCTTTGGGTCCCCCTGGTTCAGGAAACTACCAAGACAGTTTAGGTTTGTTGCTGTGCACTAAACCCTAAACCCCTAAACCCTAAACCCTAAACCCCTTAACCCTTTACCACCAGACCAGGTTCACAGCTACGGCTGCCACAGCAATTTCAGGCCGCAGGCAAGGCTTTTGCTGTGCACCCGGGCTCAGGGAGTCTGGTCTTATGGCCTACTGCCAATATTTGGCAGAGCATGGCCATGGATGACCAAGGTCAAGCTGTCAAGCAACCAGAGGGTTTAGGGGTTCAGGGGTTTAGGGGTTTAGGGGTTTGGGGTTTAGGGGAGCTTTCGGAAGGGAAGCCCCGCAAATGAGGCCTCTCATGATGGGAGACGTTAAAGCGCCAAGCCGCGCGAGCAATTGCTGCAGCGTGTAGGCGATGGGAAGGATTTGTACATATGCTCCGGCGGCAACTTACCAGACCAGAACATTCGAAAAAGCGAAAGGATGCCATCGTCCAGCGTGGGAACAAGCCCCATTCCAATAAACACCATGGGTTTAGGGTTTAGGGTTCAGGGTGTGTGGAACAAGCCCAATGTTGACAATTCATTAATTAGGTCCAAAAAATCATGCTGAGAGCATGCACTCGGGCTACCAGCGTTGGGCCGAGGCTATCAGGAGCACATCATCACGTCGCCTCTGCCTTCAGCATGAGACCACTGCCTCACCTGCCATAAGTCTTGCACCCGGATTTGCAGGTTCCCCTTCTGTCCACGTCAATAACAAAGATTGTGGTATTGGTAACTTCCATAAATAGGAGGCAAAATAAATAGGAGGCAAAACACCATTATCTACTATAAGCCTTATTATAGCAACCCAAAAGTACGCCTGATTTAGGGAAATCCCCCATCCGAGCGACTTTACTGGGACCTGCATAATAACAGTAGTAATGACAATACTAATAATAAAAACGATAATAATTGTAATAATAATAGCAACAATAGTAGTAATAATAGTAACAAGCTGTTGTTGGAGCACTCCGTCCCGTCCTCGGCGATAAGGCCGGCAAAGCCAGAGCCTTGGCCTGTCTTCTGTCGAAGGTTAGGTGCACCCCCCCACCCTGTAAGAATGGTTTAATATGAATATAGGACGGCCCTAATATTGGTATAATAGGAAGATGATCTACCCTATAATAATGGTATAATAGGAAGATAGCATAATCACCAGCATTCCTTGTAGTCACTACTACTGGTTTGGGGGTCCCCCTAAGGTTAGGAGTGGGCCCTAGGTTTGGTGCCTTCACTGGGCGTCAGGAGTGTGGGTATACGTCAGTAAACGTTGCACACCAAAAGCTCCAATGCGCAACAAGGAAATATGCAGTGGTTTTTTTTGTGGTTGAACCTAGTAAGATGATATTCCTGAAAAAAATACTATACCCAAAAGGAGGATAGAATCTTACTCGATAATGGGTACCATAGTATCCCCAAATAGACTACTACTCATATGAGGATTACCAGAGCTAGACTAGCAACATGTTGAGAAACACCCCAAGCCCCAAGAGGTATAAAGCACCACAAACGAGAGGACATTATGCTCTTAAGCTATGATGGCGACTCCCATGTCCAACCTGAAACCTAAATAGCAGTTTCCATTTCATTTTCCATGATATTTACCATCTGATTCTCCATTATTCTTACCCCAATGGGTCCTAATATAACCCCTAACCCTAATGACATTATGCTCTTAAGCTACGATGGCCACTCCTATGTCTCATGGAACTTCGGATAGTACCCTGTTCCGCCTTGGGTGCTCGGGCGGAATCGGCCTCAATTGCAGACAGATGACACGCAGGCTCCCAAACCTTCGGGCTCAATTTTGGGAGTCCCGACAATCAGGATTACAAGAATTTGGTCGTAAGTAAGGGAGGCACTCCCCTTGTTTACAACCCTAAACCCTAAGCCCCTAAACCCCAAACCCTAAGCCCCTAAACCCTACACCCCTCAACCCCTAAACCCTTAATTCGCTGGATCTTGCACATCGAGCGGCGAGGGCAAACTCGGCTCCAGGACCTCGTTGAAAGCGCAAGGAGGACTTTCTTCCCCAAATACCCCAGGATTTAGGGTGTCCTGTTAAGGGTTCTAAGGTTCAAGGTTTAGGGCCTAGGGTTTAGGGGTAATGGCTTCCCACAGATATAAGGGGGTTTTGGTGACTTCAACCCTCAAAAACATGGTGCTAAAAAGAAAATTCTCATACATTGGTACAACAGGGTCCCAGTTCTTCGGAGGTTGGAGTTACCAAAATCCTGGCAGTACTAATATGGTTATGTAGGAGTTATATCACGTGCAGGGTGCGTGACTTACCCCAATGGATAATTCATTGGAAAATCAAATGGAACATGAGTGGAAACTGGGCTTATGCAGGAGTAACTTATGGTTTAATCCCCTAATAATGTATCCCTCGGCCCCTAAAACAAAAATTCCCCTTGCGTTGTGGTACTATGCCTGAAATACACATCACTGGGTGGGATGGGATTGTGTAAGCGGGGTTATTATGCTACTACAGCTAATATTAATACTGCTAGTACCTTTATAACTACTATTTCTATGTTGCTCTATAGTCCCCTTAAGTAGATAGAATATGGCTTCAGGTATATTGCAATTACTCAAGGGGGACTATATGAGTTGATACGGAGGACATGATGCCAAGCCGGATCCTGCAACCAATCAGCAATGAGATCCAGGCCAGTCGGACCGAAAGGGTTTGGCAGCTGTACCTCGGGATTATATAGGGATTACGTGGGGATCATGTAGGGTTTATATAGGGATTAAATAAGTATTATGTAGGGATTCTACAAGGATTGTATACGGATTACATAGGGATTATATAGGGATTGTATAAGGATCATATAGGAATTATATAGGGATCATGTAGGGTTTATATAGGGCATGTATAAGGATTTTGCAGGGATCATGTAGAGATTGTATAAGGATCGTGTAGGGTTTTTATGGGATTGTTGTAGGGTGAGATGAAGATTGTCTAGGGCTTGATGGGGCTGTATGGGGATCATCTATTACCTGGTCAAAGCTTGGGTTTCCCCTACCTAGGTGCATACCTTGCAGTAGCCCCGGGCGAAGCAAGGTCTCGGAAACAAAGCAGCATGCGGTTTCCACACAACTGTAGGGGGAGGATATCCTACGCCACCACTACCACCGCTGTCACGACCACCGCGACGAAATCCTAAAAACCTATCACTCAGGGCTGAATCGTTCCCACCTCCTCATCTCTGTTGTAGCGCACCCGCTCCCGCGCGCCGTCTAGGAGCTGGTCCTGAAGGGCTTAGGGGTTAGGGGCTGTTAAGAGCAGGAGGAGTCTAACATGAGTATGTCTGTGAGGAGTCCCCACCAATGCTGCCAGGTTGTTGAAGCACTACCCCGCAAGCATGCAGGGTCTCTGGCCATGCGATCAAAGAGCTCCAACCTCTCAAAGGTGCCTGCACGGAGCCAAGAAAAGAATTGAGGATCAGATGGGACCACAAGATTGGAGAACCAAATGGAAGAGGACATGGAAGTTGAAATGGAAGCTGGGCTAGACTATACAGTAATTTCCGTTTTCGTTTCCATTATCCCTATATAACCCCCAATATACTACATAGTGATTTCCGTTTTTTCCATGATCCCTATACAACCCTGATGTACTCGATATAGTAGCTTCCATTGCTGCCATGAGCCATCTTTGTCTGCGGTGCCTCCACTGCAGGCAACAGGCGAGGGCTTGTACTGCAGACACGCCATCCTTACTGCGAGGGATTGAGGCAACAGGTGCTTTGCTTTAGGAGGACTCCTCAACCCTGTAAAT